AAAGACAAGAGAAGACATCAAAATCATGGCATTTGAAAAGTTCAATTCTCTCTCATTTCTTCTACTAGCCATTATGGCTTCTGTTTTCACCCAACACGCTTTCGCAACATCACTCGATACCAGCTCTTTCTGCAAATACTTGAAAGACAAGGACCTTTGCTCAACCATGATTGATGGAGCAACAAATTGGCACGATGCCATTGGAAACGCAATTAATGCTACATTATCCGTGGCTAATGAACTTCAATCAAAGAGTGGCTTCGTTGCAGCATCAATAGCTAATTTGCCACCTTCGACCAAAGAAACATGCAAGGAGTCTTTCCAGACGACGACTGATATGCTTCATGAGGCACTGGACCACCTTGCAGCCGGTGACAATGGATCGTTGCATACCAAATTAAGTGCGGCATTAGATGTTGAGTGTGCTGATGAACTTTCAAACCTTGGTGTTGCTTCACCTATCTCCAATATGGTTGAAGATCTTCATAAAAAAGTGTCCGTCTGCTTGGCGATAATGACCCAAAATGAGAACGTCACAGCATAAGATTAGGAATTGTTGAAGAACAATCCCTAATGCACTTACTTGTTGCCGTGCACAAATAATTTTGTTTTCATAGCAATTTTCAGATCATATAATTCTTATACGTTGTGCTTGTACATTATACGAACACATGAATAACACCTGTGTTTACTTTCAATTTAGATTGAATAATCCCGTAATAAATTTGCAAATTTGGCTAATTTATATTTTGTAATTAACAAGTACTATTACTAACGAATGTTTTGAACACAAATTTGGTTATATATATTTTTTATTTTTTTCTTACAAATTTGGTTATATTGATAATTGAAAGGAAAATGTGGCACAATGATACAATGGCTAACGGGCCAAAAATGAGTTGGCCCAGCTGGAATTGAAGTCCAACCCAAAGTTCTGTTGGTTTGTTTTTTGGTGCAAAAACGTGTTATTTGAAGAAGCTTAAAATCGTGATTACACTTACCTGATTTTGAACGCTCGTGATGTCGTCAAGTGTCACCTCCTACATCGTTGGATGGGCGGCCTTTGGGTGACTCATATAAAAAAGCGAGTTTTTAGGGTTTGAGACTTCACTTGGCTTCTCGACTCTTCCATTCTCGTTCTCTGCGCTACTCTTCTAGAGTTCTTTTCTCTTCTCTGTACAAATCAATTTTGCTCATTTGATTTCTTGTTTTCTCTCAATAGTTTGTAAATCTCTTGTGATTAAATTGTTTGAGGATTGGTTCTTGTATGAACCGTGTGTTATCAGTTGAGAGAGTTCCTATTTTGTGTAATAATCGGCCTTGTCTGAGTGCTATACTTTTGTATCTTTATCTTGGGTTTGATTCGAACATCTGGTGGTTCATTCTTGTACGATTGAAGCCCGAATCTGTTGAGATTTTGGCCTATGGGCTTTAATGAAGAGATAAGTGCATTTTTACTGTCTTCTGTTCATTTATATTCCAGTTCATATTAGTTTCGAGTTTTACAATTTATTGTGCTTCATTGTTCAGTAATCTCTTGAGTTGAGATTTCGGTTTCTTGAAGTTTATTTCAGCTTCAATTTTGTTCAGATTATTGATTGTTATTTCAGTTCTGTTTTTCTGATTTGTGTACATATATTTTATTAATTTGTAAACTAATCTTAGTGAACTCCTCCCAACAATAGTAATATTTTTATTAATTTAACTTTTATTTTATATCAATGAAATAAGTCTCTACAAACGATACTAGTAAATTTCGAAAATTTTAACTCTGAACTCTCTAACTTTCATTTATTTTTAGGGAAATTTAGACAAATAACCTACGTCAACAATGATTTTGGAGAAATGGC